TTTTGAAATAATCTTGCGGGAAAGTTTTTTCTTTTTGTTCCTATTTTGGTAAAAGTGATCTACGGGAAGAGTTTTTTGCTTTTTGGTTTTAAATTTATATACAAGTTATTAATATTAATATCAATATATATATATAGAATAGTATATATTTAAATAATAAAAAAATTACTTAGATTAAGTTTAGTTGCAAATCAATTTTAATAAATAATTTTACAGACCTTTCTTGTTCAAATTTTTGATTTGTAAATATTGTAAATATATTGTATTTTATAGCTTCTATATTATAAATTTTGCTTTTTTCTAAAAATCATAGATCAAGCATATAAGTAACTATTATAATTATATAATAAATATAATTTCACTATTTCTTAATACAAGTTTAAATTTTATTAGAAAAATTGTATAAAATATTTTGAATTATATTTATTATTATTCTAAAATTAAAGTAAATAAATGAAAGTGTAGTACTATTTAATTTTAATAGTTTTAATATAGCTACAAGTGGTTGTAAAATACTTGTTATCAAGTTTAGATCATTTAAAATTTATTGCATAGTATATAAATTTTAAGACTTGTATCTAATATTTCATGAATCAAAAAAGTGTTAATATAAAAAAAATTAGAATCATAACTCTCTCCATTGATCACTATAACCAAATTCTAAAGAAAGAAAATTAAGTAAAACCAGCTAAACAACTAAGCTAACAAGGAGTTTGTATCTAACTAAAGTTGTAACACAAAGAAGACACAACAATTTTTATTAGAACAATTTTTAATAATCTATAGCAAGTAGTATAGATTATCTTCGAAATAGCCTTTTGAACAAAAAATTTTTGTTTCTGTGAAAAAAGTGGGAAACGGGCTTACTCCAGTCTGCAGATCTTTGTACATCACACAAAGTAAACAAATATATCAACACAGTACCAAACAAATAGTAACTGAAATAGTATATATATACTAGTATCTGAAACAAGATATTATCTAGAACCAAACAGGCATAACGCAAGATGACAACACATAATAAACTAATCGTGGTGGCAGAGTTAAACTGGTTTAGCAAATTAGAAAAATACAAAGATTTTTTTTACAAAATTACCTAAATAGTAGAATGTAGCAAGACAAGAACATGCATATCTAGTGCTATAGAAAGATAGGGAAATAGCAGTGTTAACCAGAGCTGCACCTAAAACAATAAGTATATTTAGAAGAATAATAGAGCTATATGACTACAGCGAGTATCTGAAGAGTAAAGACAGAGAGGTAGAGTTAACCAAGAGTATAGCAAAGTCAAGCCCCAAGAAACAGATTAAAGAAAAGCTGATAGAGTATGAGAGTGGGGTAGTCGATTATGGTATAGAAGAAGTCAATAGTAAAGAGTCACTATATATACCAACAACTGAGAGAAGTAATATAGAATCAGATTTGAGTGTAGAAGACAAAAAGAAGCCCTTTAGCCAAGAATTAAAAAATAATATGACAGAAGAGCTAGTACAAGAGTTAGAAAAGATGTTAATTGTTATATCTGTATTAATGAGTACTGAAATTGTAGAAAATACGCAAAGGCTTAGTAAAGGTAATAAACAGAAAGAAATTCCAGTAAGAGCAAATACAAATGAAGCCAACCAGGCTAAGCTATTTATATTATAGGATATATCATTGTATGTGCAGTCGCAAGCAATAAGGAAATGCTTACACTTTTATGGCAAAATAAACATTTTAAAATGGAAGCCACAAGAGAAGAACAAGGCAGTTTCTTTTATAATTAAATACCATAATGCAAGACGCAAGTTGACCTTCCAAGCTGCATGGGCAGTACATTTTGTAGAAAGAAAAATGTTGAGAATAACACCTGGTGCTTTTGCCAAAGAAATATTAGAGAGTAGAACAAGATTCAAAGAAGTAGTTAAAAATATCCCAACATCAGCAATAGAAGTACTATTGTTAAGATAGCTGAAAGGAGTAGGTACAAAAGCAGTTTATATTTCATATAATAATAACCAAAATCAAAGATACATGATATTAGTGTACTTTAAATCAAGAGAAGAGCTGGAGTTAGCTCAAGAAAGAGATACCTTTTACTATAACACAAAGCTTGAATAGCTAGATAAAAGTAATAAAAAGTGGAAGAGGCCTAGAGAGAGAAGAAACTAGTGCTTGGCACAATCAAACAAAAATTTGATAGTCAAATACTTGTTAATACTTATGCTTAAATCAGATATCAAACGATTGCAGATTAACCAAAGCTAAATATATACTATTGGTTAATTTGCAATCATTTGATGTCTGACTTAATCACAAGTATTAACAAGTATTTG